CCCCCCCCCTCCAAGTTCGAGCACAAAGGCCAAGCCAGGCCCTCCACGGTCGCGGCCAGCCCATGGTCGATCGAGTCCAGTCCGCATAGCCCCTCTCTCTATTCCCAGCCCTTCATCAAGCCTGTCCCTTGTTCCGCACCAGGTTGTAGAGCGGGCGGTACTGTCGCTTGTTGTCCAGCATCATTCGCAGCGCCATACGGGTGGCGACGTCGCCCGACCTCGTCGGCGCGACCTTGGAGGTCGTCTGGAACCCTTCCTGGAGCGTGCCGTCTTCCGTCAGCTGGGGGCGGTCGCGCCCGGATTCCCCGTCCTCCTCTGACGGGTGGACAGGCTTCACTTTCTCGTCGCACAGGAAGTTGTGCAGACGAAAAAGTGCAGTGATGCGGCTGCTGCGCCAAGCGAACCCGCAACGGCCTCCACATAATACCCCACTGCCCAACGAGGATGCCGAAAGCTTGCTCTATCGTCAGCCTGAGTTGACTAAGGTAGAAATTGAATGAAGGCGTCTTGTCTCGAGGTAGCAGCTTCCCGGGGTACGGCGTGAGGAGTTGGTGGCTGAGGGGGTACGCCGCATCCCCTAGCATATAGAAGCCAGGCGGCAGGCGCGCCACGATGTCCGATACCTTCGAGCGATTCCACGCAGTCCAGTCGTTGGTCGAACCGGCTGCGATGGCGGACATGCTGCAGAAGCGGTAGTTGGCATCACAGGTCGCCTGCACGTTCAACCCGTACGCGTTCTTGCTACCCGAGTAATAGGAGAGCACATTTGGGGTGTCCAGGGGAGTTGGAGCTTGCATCTTGACGAAAAGACCATCTCCNGTTGGAGCTTGCATCTTGACCAAAAGGCCATCTCCGGCAGCCACACAGCAAGCGAACGAGCCGCCGGTGCTTTTGGCCTGAGGTTTGGGAAAGAGCAAGAGTTGGCGAAGCGGTGTAGAACGCGCATGCATGCGGTGGGAGGGGGGGGAGAGCGCCGGGAGGGGTTTGAGAACAATTAGCGACAGATTAGAGAGAATAGCTTTATGCTGTTGCAATAGCATTTTTGATGAAGAGCGGCCCGATAGGGGGGCGTTCTTGCTGTTGCAAGAAAAAACTGATTAGAGGGATCGTGATGTGCATGTACGTACCTGAAAAACGAAAAATCGTGCATAGGGGGGCAATTTCGCAGCGCGGTGTCCGATCGTGTCTGTGCGCCGAAATTTACGCAGGGTTTCGAGCCCATTTCACCATCTAGGCACCAGACTGCAATTCAATATTTTCGCACAAGAAGAATTTTGCCAGAGCTGTCACAACTGCTTCCAGCTCAATTTGTGCTCGACGCATCGAGTTAGCTCAGTATCTGCGCCGAATTTGAAGAAGGGAACCAAGCGTCCCCGCTCACAATCCAAGACAGGCGTGATTCATTGTTGGTTCCGCCGGTCGTTGTGCTCAGCAGCTGCTGCTGCTGCTGCTGCTGTGGCCAAGCCATGCACGTTACACAGCAGTAACAGGGGACGTGGACACACACCACCGGGAGAACGAGGTGGGAGGGTGTACCCCATACTGTGCTGCTGTTTGCTATCGGCGGAGGAAGCGACAGGAGACAAGAACAAGAGTTGGTTGTGTTGTGCGTTTAACGGGAAGTGCCCAATTTGGTCTTGATTATTGTGTTCCACCGTAATAGTTGTTTGGCAGCGCCCTGCCTACAGGAGCGACAGGGTGAATTCGTCCTTCATTGCCGACCACACACCGGGTGATGAGCCAGGGTTTCAGAGCAACTGTCATGGTAGGGGGTGGAGATGTATCGTTTTGTCGTTGCGTTGCATGGTCGGTTATCTGAGGTCGCTCGCCTTTTGATTAGTACGCGATATGATACCTAGTTCGGGTTGGGCATTCGGAAAATCGTCATGTACTACTATTTTTCTTGTAGAGATAGTTTCTTTAGCGATCATGATTCCGCTTCAGGAATGAATGTTGTGCAAGTGCATACCGTGGATTGTGTTTTCTGCAGCTCTCTGCATGGCGCGACGTACAGTTTAATTTTTTATTTGTCTGGCACAACGATTGTTATTTTGCCGTGCCCACCGACCCGAGGTTAGCTCCGGTGGTTTGTCGGAGCCATCCTTTCCATTTCGGCAATGGCATCTACATCACGCAGCTTGTAGAATGGTAGCGTGCGTACAACGTCCGTGTTGTGTGTTTCAGCTGGCGGCGACTCGTTGCTCTCTTTCTGCCATTTGTTTTTTTGGGGTGTTTTTTTTGGAGGTCGTGTAGCCGCTGCACGGAACGCGCCGAAGTTGTCGCTTCGGCAGGCATGTAGCTACTCGACGCTTGAATACAGTATCCAGTGTCTTTTGTTGTCTTTCAACAGCAGTGGCTCCGTAATTAAAAGAGTAAATGTACTCCTACAAAAACAACTGGAAGGGCATACACATTACGGTGCCAGATGGCACGCATGCTTGATCCTCACATCGTACCGCGAGCTACCATAGGAATGAATGTGCACGAGTGCGAAAAAACGTTTGCCAGCTCGACGTCGGACGTCAACAGAGGACGACGATGCGAAGTTGGGGTGTACTCATAGTCGTGCATGTCGCAGAACAACAGCATATTGGTGAAATTGAGAGCGAAGCATCTGTGCGCGATGCGCTGCAGCTGGAGTGCTGCTGAGAGGTGGAGCTTGCTGTGTACCTTGAATTGAAGGGCCAGCCCGTAGCTACAAGCAGATAATGTGGGAGTCTCTCGATGTGGAGTTACAGCGGCGAGCAGAAGCTACAGCAGAGCCCACCGCCCGAGGCCAAATCGCCCTGCAACAGTTTGAGGCAGGAATAGCCAATCTGGGGAAATCTAGCAACTTGTCTAGTCCTAGCTGCAGCATTCGATCACGATGACACGCATATGCTCGTGATGCTGCTGATGATGAGACCTTCAATTTGCGCCGCTTCTTGGAAGAGCCCGCCCCCTACTTCCCAAGAAATGGCAAGAGGCGTCTGGACCCGAATTTCAATTGTTTTAACTCTCGCTCTCAATTTCATGCTTCGCTCTTAATTTCACCAATGGGGTGTTCCGCGCGGTGAAGACGAATAGTTTCCACGAGTTTTTCAATGAGCAGCAAGAAATGGTTCCCAACCTCTGAAAATTGTACCAACATCCGTTAGGTCACGAGGATCACGAAAATATACTTATCTTCCCATTTGGACGTCGTGGTGACGACTTATTGATGAATGAGTGGCCAAAATTGGGTGAAACTCTCGCCTGCGGCCCCCCCGAGCAAGATGCAAACGCCTCCGAATCGAATAAAATTTTTGGGTTAGGATAATGTTGTGTTGTACATCAAGAATTCGTCGTCAGAAATTCGATCAGGATCGATGCGGCCGTGTTTGGAATGTCCCAGTTTTGATTTGCAATGGACTTTCAGCTGCTCAAATGCTGACAGTTGTTGTTGTTGTTGTTGTTGTTTCTCACATTAGCTCTAAAAAAAAAAAAGATTGGGAGCCCGTGGTCTCAAAACCCGGCATACACGACCCCACGAAGAAACAGAAAAAAATAGGGTGCAAAAACCACTCGGAAGAGAAACAAAATGATATAAAGAAAGACCAGCTACCGCACCAAACGAGAAAGAGCGTCGAGGAGACCGATCAAAATAAAATAAAAGGAGAACGGGGAACGCTTCCCACACCCGCCTACAACGCCGGAGGGTTCCGTGCCGGGTTCCCGCCGACCAGGCATCCCCCGCCCTGCACCACATCCCAGGGGGTGCAGCAAGACGGGGGGCGAAAAACAAACACATGTATATATTTCCACAAAAAAATAAAAAATCGAAGGACAACGTACACCAGTACCAGGTACTACAGCAGTGCAGTATGCACCAGCGCATTAGTGTAGGGTAGGCACCGCACCAAAGAGGCAGCAGAGGTGGCAGGCAGTCAGCAAAGGAAAAAACAAAAATAACAAGGAGCTCGAGGTATCGTCCAAGATCATCGTAGAGAGGGCATGCATGGAGAACAAGAAAGAAAGAAAGAAAAGAAAAGCACAAAGAGAGGCCGGAGGCAATACTAAGAAGAGCATACAGCTTACGGCAGGGAAAAGGGAACACAGGGTGCGGCAACGTCATCAGTTGGGTACGTCGTTCGCCGCAAGCGCGGCCTTGGCCGCCCTACTCGCTTCTACAGCAGTGTCCGGTCGCCGTTTCTTCCCCTCCCCCGCCGCTTCCCCGTACAACAGTCAGTATCTAACTCATAGACTAACTCCACGCAAGTAACTCGTAGAAGACTTCCTCTTGGACATATAATAAAGCCACATTCATCCTTTTTCTGTATATATAATCCCAAATCACTTGAAAATACTGTAGGACGCTGGATGCACCACAACACCTATTATTACTACTTCAACCGCTTTGTAGTGATGAAGGAGGGATAATTTCTTGTACCGGCAACCAACAATCCCTTCTCTCAACAGTTGTGAGTTGAAAATCGGGGTACAAGAGGGATGAGAGGAGACCGCATTCCACACCACATCGCGGGTAGTATGCGGCTGATCGGGCCCGTGTGTGGTGCCTGGCTCGATTATATGCATATCAAGACAGCGTTGGGTATCGCGGACCGGCACAAGACCACCGATTTTGCGGTGGCATCGCTAGATACATGTAGACTACATGTAGATACTACTGTAGGTCGTTCTCGGAACTTACTTGTCGGTCCAAAAAAATCGTTGCTGGCGTTTTTTTAGTCCTGGAGAAGAGACTTCCGTCCTTTCCTTGGTAGAACTTCTTGTCCACCTCATTCAAATCAAAAAGTTTGTCGTGTGGCTTTGGGGATACTTCTGGCTCAATCGATTCCTGGCCCGATCAACCGAACGTTGTGAGCTTAGAAAATTCATCGCGGCATGCGTTCAGCACGTAGTCTTGATCCCGTGCCACAACGCAATACATACTAGAATACGGCGAAAAACACTACGAGTAGTCTTAGTCTAGACAACACAAAAATAGACTTGCCAATTGACACGGGCAACAGAAAAAACCACATCGTTTACTGTGTGGATCTCCACCGTCTCCTGCAGCGGGAGGCTCCTACCTGCCCCCTCCCTCCGCCCCCTGATCATCGGATGAAATACGGTGCATCTCCAACAACACCGTCGTTTGGCGACACCCAAGTTGTTTGCAGACCGTGCGAGCAACGTACAGTCTGTACATGTCCGGGGTTCGAATCTCCCGTTGAGCATGTTAGTTCATCCTTCGAGGATTTCATTTGAGCCCTATACATATGGGGAAAGTCTTGGACTTCGCCAAATATGCCGATGAATCTCTTGTTGTACATAGGATGCCGGTCATGCATCGGGCAAGACAGCGCTGATCACAGGGATGGCCACCCTGGAGGGGCGTGTTCGTGGCTTGAAAGAAAGCTTGACTGACTCGGGCATTAACTTTTGTTGAGAGGCACGATGACCACTAGACTGCCAGTCAGCGCTGACTAGTATTCCATCTAGTGGTCATCGTGCTTCTTGACAAGTGGTACATAGTGAGTAGCCCAGCATGACCTGCCAACAGATTATCGTGTTGCGGAAAAATACCTCGCCTAACACATGATTTAATTTGCGTAACCCTTGTAGTCCGACCACCCCGCCACATGCGCAACACCGTTCCCTCTCGACGAACCACACGGTAAGCCGCCATCTATGACTTACCAACATGTCCCCCTCTGCCTGTTTCCCCGCGCGCCCGCTTCCCTTCGGCGGTGAACGTGAATCGGTTTGTTGCGTGCGGCAAGCCAGCTTTGTTTTTTGGCAATCATAATCATAATGCAATTACACACTACAGAGAAAAGGAGTGACCTTGGAAAGAGCCTGAGGTGTTTAAATCAACCGTTCTTGTAGTCTTGTAGGCCCTAGCGATCATCTACATTTACCCAACATGACTCAGTACACACACACGTTGTTGCAAACATGGTAAACAGACTTGATTAGGGCATCGAAACATCGGCGGCCTGATTGTATTAATTTGTCTACGCTGCGACACAGCATCAGCACCAGAACCGCACCATAAGCGGTTGCGTTAACCACACCTCGTTCCACCGCGTACACACGCCAGCTGCACCATACGGAAGTGAGTAACCGTCGTCCGCCGAGGTATTAGCTCAGTTTTCAGTCGAAACTGGCCCATTCTCAAGCACCCATCACTCTCAATCGCCAAGCCTGCGAGGCACGTCAGTACCCTTCCGAGGACGAAAAACACTCCCTCCCCCCATCAAACGTGATCCGAAGCAAACAGCACGAAACGATATAAAATACGCAACGACTTCGTCAGCCGTCACCAGCCCCCCGTACCGCCTAGAGCTCCCCCTCGCCGTACCCACTTCTCGCCCACGGCGCCCCGGCCGCGGATATGAACACGCCTCCCTTCCCTGATGAGTGAATGCCGTGACAGCCATACTCTCGAAAAAACTTGAAACAAAACCACTCGTATAGTCTAATACGTGTGTTGACACCGCAATAAATTTCCCGCCTCAAACGTTGCGCCCCCCATGCTAATTGACCAAACGTTCCGCCAACCCCGACTCCCCGTCAAGCAACGCCTATCTCCGTGCCGGCCGGAAAACCGGGCACGGTGTACCGTAACTTCGCGCGGCCTAACAACCGGGATTCTGAGAAAAAAATAATGTGTGGATACCTAAATCGACCCAAAAATCCGCGCATCAAGCATCTACACCTCGGAGCTAAGACTAATGATAAGCGTTGAAGCACACCCACCAGTGGGCGTCGCGAAGGGCGGCGAACGTTCTGATAAAACACGTCTGCACCCACGGATCGACAATCCCGGACGAGGACACCACACACACGCGCGCCCGGTCACCATAGCGGATCTCCCATTCGGCCCAAACTCCAAAGACACAAAATATATTCCGGCCACAAATCCCCCCCATTGGCACTGCTGCCAAAAGCTGCCGTGAGCTACAGAGGCAAAGACGCATTCGGCGCCGACGAAGAAAGACTCATCCTTTTACCGGACGCTGCGCAACGTTGCAGGGGCCATCGACACCCTTGAGCGAGTGCGCCCGGCCACCGTCTGCCGCTGCGGGGTCTGCCCGGTCCTCGACGACGCTCGCCGCGAGCTCGCCTTGCTCCTTCCAGCCGCCCCGTCCCTCGTAGTAGCGAAGTCGACTGCGGCCACCCCGTGAGAGCCATCGCCACCGCTGTCGTGCACAGAGGCTGCGCGCTTTACGGCTCCCTTCTTGTTGGCGTCGCAGGGGGTGTTGCAGCAGCCGCTGCTACTGCTGCCGCCGCTGCTGCTGCCACCACCAAGGTGATCGTTGAGCCTCGTGCTGCTAGAGTTGGTGACGTCGCCCAACCTGGTTCCGACACAGCGGATATTTGGAAAACAATCGCGCAAAAAAAGGACGTGTGCGGGTTTTGGGAGGGGACGGGCAGGAAGGCTATGAGGGTCGATCGAGAAGAAATGCCTTCGGGAGTGCCATGACGCCGCGAGGTATGGTCATCTGGGTCGGGGGGCATGCGCACGGCGCGAGCGGCAAAGTACAGGGCAGCGTTAGCCGTCGACCACCGGCCACCGGCCACCAAAAGTAAGCACGGGGCCACCACGAGCGACATTTTTATATTGTCCTTTTCGAGCACTCAACGCTCCCACGCGTTGGCACGATAGCCGCATCTGTTCGGCCCAGCGGCTTATTGTCGGCGATCGAGGTACGACAAGCAGACCACGACCACGAGCTTCCCCTACAAAACGAGGCAAATGCTTCTATTATTCGTGGCCATCTGGTGTCTACGCGGCTGCAGGGTGGCTCCTCATGCACAGCTACATTTGGTTCTGAGTGCAATACCATTGAAGATCAGAACCGGCTCTAAATGCAAGAAGCAAACAACGCGCACTCGTGGCAAAGGGGACCAACAGCTGTACCTAGCAACAACAACAACAACAACAACAACAACAACAACAACAACAACAACAACAACAACAACAACAACAACAACAACAACAACACCAGCAGTCAATAGCAACAATTGTGTGACGCGCTGATCCTCGTCGAAATACAGAACACACACACACACGTCACATGACACATAGTTGATACACCCGTGCGTGTCCGTGTCCATCTCTCCACCGACAAGCACGCGATTTGTTTTCCATCAGAGTGGCGCTCGTCTCATACATACGGTATCTCATAACTCACAGTCTAGAGCTGGCGCTCCTGCCCGATGACCGAGGGGCCGGGATCATAGACTTCCTCGACCGCGATATCATGCTGTCAAAATTTGAAGCGGACGCACGAAGCACGACGCATAGCACGCGAGGACACACGAGCAATAAAACTTCGCAGCCGAGTGCGTGCGCCCCCAACAGGCGCTGGATGCCGTAAAAGCAAGATTGGACATTGGAATATCGCATCTAAACTCGTGGTCGACCTCATGACACACACACACGCCCGAGCACGCTCGCGAGCCAGCCACTGTGTAGCGCGGTCGATACTACCTCAATAAACACATCACATTGATGTGCACCCTGGAATAACATACGGTTCCTCTGTAGCATTCTTCTTCGCTTATTCGGGGGGGAACCTCATGGTATAAAAATGACTAAATTTAGCCGGGTATTGTTTTCCGTATTGCTACTTCGTCAAGACCATGTAGCCATTGCATTGACCAGCCACGCGGTCGGATGATAAAATAGTAATTTCGACAGAGACACCACATCATACGTCATGTAATGACTCACGAACACACCACACACCTGCTCTTTCTGCGGTTGGACTTCATGACGGAGGCCACCTCCGCCGAGGCTGCCGAAGCCGCCGCCGTGGTAGCTCCTCCCAAGGTGGTGCTGGTGCCGCTGCTGATGGAGTCACGCGAGCCTCTGTCGGACAGCCCGGTCGCCTAACATTCAGGTACGACAACCGACCGAAACAGACAACAACAGACGTCAGTGGCGTGTTCATTGACCGGCGCATCAGTTCTTCTGCGCACTAGACGAGAGCGAACGGGAATACCGTCAACGCGAGGCCGGGCGAACGAGCAAGTGCACGATCGATTTATTATGGAGCTCGATCGACTGCTCCAGACTGCCCGCCCACAATGCCGAAAACCGGGTGTGTTCGGGAGGAATCAGTCTCACTCTTTGCCTGCAGAGGCTCATCCACAATGACAAGACGACAAGAGCATCATCTGTCGCCGCCGCTGCTGCAGCACCCCTACCGCCCCTCCCACCACGCGGCAGCCAAACAACACAACCCTACCGCAGTCATACACACACGACGACGCACCTGTTGTTGTCGAACAACACCGCCGCCGGCGCTGCCAGCGACGGCGTTCTCGAGCTCCATGCCCTCCGCCCCACCGCCCCCGTTCTCCTCGATCTGCCCCAGAGTACCGCCGAAGGCACCGCTGTCCCCTTCCATCATCAGCCCGGATCGGACACCGCTCGAACCGCCACCGAAACCGCTCATCGCAGCGCCCTGCCCTCCGCCGCTTGCGCACGCGCTATCGCCGTCGTCTGCGGCCGTCCTGGTAGCATCGTCCCCTACGCTGCTCCCCGCCGCACCCGCTCCCACCGACCGGGAGCCGACCCCGTCCAACTCCGACCTGGCAGCGACAGAGCGGCAGTGTTGATTGGCCTCCGAATTTAAAAGCGAAAGGGGAACGAAGGGTATGTGTATGTACCAAAGTGTAGTACGCAACGACAGCAATTCAACGGAGAAAAAAAACAGCTGGTCGCCCCATGACTTCTCCAAATCATCGACAATATGCATCGACAAGGTCTTAGCACACTCCACACCTTGCGCTCCATCACGAGCAAAAAACGCCACCGTGAGCAGCATTTAGGTGACTGACGTGAGCGTTTCAAGTCAAGATCTGCTTCTCCCACCGTAATGTACCACATGAGATTGGGCCCTAACACCGCCAAAAAACTATGAACGAATCAACCGCTTCCCCCGCCCCTCCCGTGCTCTCCCTACGATGCACGATTGACAACCTATCTAAAGGCTTTGGTTACAACAGAATATGTCAGCCACACAGCCCCAAGCCATACGGTAGGTTTATCCTTAGGTTACGGCGCACCTTAGCTGCGAAACTTCCGCTTCTTTTTCCTTGAGCAAGGCAAGAAGCTCATCCGCTGTGGTCCGCTCGTACTCCGCGGCTTCCTCCGCCTGCCGTACAATGTGTTTAGTTCAAGCGTTGTGCATTTCAATCACAACATTTCTTCCCCGTAGAATCGAAAAGTAACTGACCACGTTTATTAATTCGATTCCAGCGGTGGGAACCGCTGAATTCTTGCCTACCCAACACACGTTGATCGTTGGCGACATTAACAGAACTTTGACTTGATTCAACCATGACAAGTTGCAGAGTTTCAAGGGTAGACGCGGGATATATTTAAAACACAAACCCTGATCGACACCTGCGACACATGAACCACCGCTGGTTAATAAGGAAAGAGCAGCAGAGCAGCACAGCGGTAGTGCAATATCACGAGCAGGAAGTGGTGACATGATAGCACGAATAAATAGGGGGTGGATGTGCAACCAGGTAGATGCATTCAAAATACTTGTCCTGGCTAGAGCGAACCAACTAGACAACCATCTTCGGACAGAACGCCTGTACCGAACGACATCCGGCAATCTGCGAGTGCCGTCGTGGGGAAGGGGGTTAACAACCTTACAACAATCGCGCAATCGGGGAATCACTCACGGTTTCCTTCTGGTCTCGGAATGTGGCGATCAGCTCCATGTTCACGTCGTGCTGCGCGCCCATCCTCGCCATCGAGCTCTCCAGCTCTCGCACCTTGCCTTCCAGCTCACAGACCCTGCACAAAAAACACCGAATATTTACACCCCGTTGAAAAATCAGGCTGTTGGAAAGAACAGCAACTTGCTGTACCTCCAACAGCCTCCATGTGCTTGACCGCCACCACCGATAAGACCCGTTCGAAGTGATATTGTTAGGATAGATAGACTAGGGAGTACATTTTTGAGTCACCTTTGGCAAAGTAGGAAGGAGCGATCGGCCATCGGTGATCGGTCGTGTGGGAACAATGCTCCGTCCTCTCGAGGACGCGTGGTCTGTGGTCTAACCGCTGAGGCATGCAAAACATAAGAGTACGCCCCCCCCCCACCCCCCGCCTTTCCACCATATACTACACCGCAGAACACCCTCCATTGCCTCAAAAGGAAAACAAACACGCGGCCACCGCCGGCATTCCGCCCTCACACTCACCGAGTCTTCTCGGCGGCCAGCTCCGCCCGGAGCCCCTGGATCTCCCTCTCCGCCGCCGCCGCCGCCGCCGCCGCGGTCGCCTTCAGCGCCTCTTCTTCCTCCCCGCCGCCGCTCTCCGCGGCCGCCCTCTTCCTCTTCGTGCAGGGCGAGGACGACGAAGACGGTGAAAACGACGACGACGACAACGAGCCCCTCCCCAGCCTAACCCCCGCCGGGCTGCCCACCATCACCATCCCCCCCTCCTCATCTGTGGAGATCAGCCCTTCCTCGCTCATCCTCCGATCGCCGCCCCTGACGCCGCGCGGGACGGGGGGCGGTAGCATGCCGTTGCCATCCTGCCCTCCGCCGCCGCCGGCCGCCGCCCCCTCCCCGCCTCTCCCGACGCTCCGGCGCGGCCTCCCCGTGTCCCCACCCCCGCCGCCACCACTGGGTTTTGCAGACCCCCCTGCGTAGGCACCGGCAGCGGCGGCGGCGGAGGCCGCAGGGGCCGGTGCAGTCAGTTGCTGCTGCGGCTGCTGCTGCTGCTGCTGCTGCTGCTGGGTGGGGGGGGGGGCACCGTTACCGCCGCCGTACCGTTCCGTGTAGCCGGGGGTGCTGCTGGCAACGGACATGATGGAGGACGTGTTGGGCGCGAAGAGGTCCGTGAAGCCGGCCGGTTCGGGAGCGATGTACCCGCGAGCGTTCCTGGTTAATCGGCGTTTTTGTTCGGCGGGGCGGCGGGGTGGTCATTTTCATGACACGAAAAATGTACGACAGTGATTCCCATGTATGGGATGGCGGGTCTCCTGGTGTGAGACTTGAGCCCAGACTACCGGAATAACCGCGCCTTAACATGTAAGGTCACAGCCCTACAGTATCTACTCGCAGTGCGCCCTTCGCGTCTGAATGTAGAAAAAAAAAATGCAGCATGGCGCGCGACCTACGTACGGTGGCCCACCGCCAACCAGCATGGCAGGGACAGAGACAGACAGACAGACAGACAGAGTACATATCGTATATGACATAAGATAACACACCCCCTGGACCGATTTTCAAATCTCGATTTCTCAACAACAGAAATAGTCAGCGCCGAAAACGGTGGCGTTGTTGAATCTGTCTTGTCTAGAGCTTTCCGAAAATGTGTTGTTTCATTTATGCATCCTCTTCGTTGTCGCATAATCAAGCTTTGAAAATTGGTCCAGGGGGTGTGTTATCTTGTGTCATATATGGTTTCACGACGACAGGTCGATGCATGAACGCGCCGCCTCAAGGACGGCGGACGGAGCGCATGCGTTCGCTTGCTCACCTCATCGACTCCAGCTGGGCTTCCATCAACTGGTTGCGCTCCTTGAGTGCCTGGTAGTCTTTGGCCATCTTGGCCTCCTTGTCCGTCAGGAGCCTCGATGCCTCGCGCACCGACTCCGTCGTCTTCGGATCGACCTTCAACACCAACAACAATACCAATACCAAGGGGAAGAAGCAGATTCGCCGGAGCACAGGACAGGAAACCATGACAGGAGCTTTTCGGGAGAACGGCTCAAGACAGGTCGGGAAAAACGCCTTGATAAAACAAGAAAAAGCCACCATCTCTGTGTATCTCGTTTCAGAATTTGAATTTCGATGCAACCCTTTCAATAGCGATTTACTTTCCTTTGTTGTGTGAACCAGAACTTCGTTCCCCCAACCAGCATGTTCCAACCACGGTGCGCTGCACTTGTGTTGTCCGTAAGAACGTGGTTCATAGAATCGGGATGAGATCGGCCAGGGCGTGGTGATCGGACACACAGAAGAGATCCGACAGGAGCAGCGGAGCCGAACAGAGAGTCAAGACGGTCACAGAAAATATCACTCTCGAGCATAGCCAACACCTCGGCGGCTCACCCCGGCTATTTTTCTCCCACCCCCTCGCCCTTGGCATCCCGCTGCTTTCTACAACCTGCCGCTGCCGCACCTTGATGTTCTTGGCCCTGTTGGCGTACTTGAGCGTGTTGTGGGAGTCGTCGAAGAACACGTGCGACGGGTTAACGTTAGCGATCATCACCAGGCGGCACCGGCCCTCGAGGGAGGCCTTGAGGAGGTGGGTCAGCTTGCTGTCGCGGTACTTCACGTTTCCGGGGCCCTGCAGACAGTACAAAGCACCCGACGGTATACGCCCGTACCGGTCAATGCCGACGACGCAAGAGGATGCAACCGGCGCGAAACATAAGGCAGCAATTGTGTGCCGGGGCGGTTCGGGAGCTCTATCATATCGCCAACAACAGGAGCATGTTCGGAAGGGGACTGCTCCTTCCGAAGAGCACATGGAGATGCATTCCACGCCAACATCGTGCCCGAGACACTCATCGAAGTCGAGCGCTCATGCAGAGGCATGCACGCTACGACAACGCTACTCCAATCAATACACAGAAGTCGAAAAGAACATGCTTAGAACCCACCGGAAGCAATCAGCCTCCCACGCAGGCGTAGAAGTGCTGATCCTATGCTATCCGCGCTGTTCATCAACGTAGCGTACGGACTCAGCGCACCCACATTGTGTGGTTTCTTCCACATGGTATGATGATACGGAATACCAGCCTACCTTTCCTCCGCGGCGGCGGCGGTTGCCCGCCAGGGCGTTGATGCAGTTGGCCAAGGACAGCAGTGACTTGTTGATGTTGGCGCCCTGCCGCAGCTGTTCCCCCCGGTTGTTCGTGGCGGAAGCCCGTTCCGATCTGGATGGCAAAATGGTAAAATTTTGAGGGTGTCCGTACCAAATTGCAAGGCAAATGTTAAACATCCTTTTTATTTCCTGACAAAAGGCATGAACGCCTCCAAACCTACTGTATCTAGACTCTTCTTGCTAGAACAAAGCATCAACGCTATTTATGCCTTAGCTTCGGGATGTCAGACGGCAGCAACAGATCTAGTCTGAGTAATCAATCACCTCCGATGGCAAACGGCGATATCATGTCATGCCACTCTAAACGCTCGCCTAGCGAGATCCCTAAGAGAGCAGCCGAAAACAAGATCAACATACGCTAGAAAATACAAAGGACGATCACAGCATGAAGGCCAACAACCAAAAGCTAGCATTCTTGGGCCCATCCACTCTATGCCCTACCCAGCCACGCCCTCTTGAGGGGTTCAACCAACACAACAAACTACAAGGGAACACAAGGCCCCTCGCACCGAAGGACAGCTCTTGATACAGACAGCACCACGGGGACACCCGAATGACTCACCCGGCCAGATCGATCAGGGAGAGCTTGGACTCCCGCACCGACCGGTTCCCGGACACGGCGTTCTCGAGAGTCCTCGTCACCACCACCTGCAGGACGGCGTGGGACCTCGACGACACCTGGTTCGCCCCCGTGGCCTCTGTCCTCCTGTTGGCGTTACCCTGACGCAGCAGGTCCAAGACCTCTTCGCTCGAGGTCACCTCCTGCGGCAGCACACATGCAACGGGAAAGGGATGTTTATTGGAGAAGGGGGTCGGTGTGGCATCATGTGACGAGCCAGTGGCCTAGTTCGCGGACGAATTCGGCGACCTGTTGAGACGGGGGGCTCAACGATTAGTATTGTTGTTGATGGGAAGGCCACGAATTCCAGCCGGGTTTGTTGTGAAATCAGACGATAGGCCTGTTTTTTTCCGGACTACATAGCTCGCGAGTTTCAGGGGTTAAGATGTGCTGCGTTGTCGTGTTGACAGCGCCAGAAGTAGACCTCGCCAAAGCACCTCCTGATTTGGGGGGTCAAAATAGGCCGTGTATTGGGAGGGGGCGTTCAACAGCTCTCTCTGGGTGGGGAGAGGGTGCTCCTTCTTGAGGGTGAAGACGCTTTTCTGGAGGCCAAGTGTCGCCTATCCTCGAGCAACGTCTTTCTACCGCTTGCCTTCCAAATAACCCCAATATGTGTTTTGCCAGAAACCCAAGCGTTAGCAAGACGATACCACGGGGATAGGTGTCGCTACACCCCCACAAAGAAGCAATAATCAAACATAACCCAACAGCAGAGCATCACACGGTGCTGCTGTCCGGTGGGCCGTGCCTCCAAAAGGCCAGGCAATTGCACGCGCTTAGAGGTACTGCTGCTGCTACACGTGTCCTTGTCGTTGTAAGGAGACCGACAATCACCCAAGCAAACCTCAACCTTGTGTTAAATGCCAGGCTCATGTCTTACGCCGCGGGGCCTCGCCGGACTGCTGTATCAAAGCCGAAAATCAAACAAACCAATTGTCAAACGCTTTCACCGATATTTTCTGCCCTCTGATGAAGCGCAAGATACTACCTCGGCGACACAGGAAATAAACTGAAACACACCCAACGTACCATCTCCGCGAGCCCTGCGACCACCACTACGCCCTTGGCGGGGTCCTCGTTGATCTTCAGAGGCTTCGATGAATCGCTCAGCAAGTCCATGATCTGCTCGTTGTAAACCTGAGGAGGCGAAAAATAGCAGCAAGGCGTTCAGCGGCAGTAACAGCAGCAGCAGCCATCTACCGACGAAAGGAATAATTTCCATTATCTGCTCGTTTTCAACCTGGCAGGCGATGCATTTGATGCCACGCATTCAGTGGTAGCAACAGCAGTAGCAGCTACTACTGACGACAGGCAAACGATCGCACGCGAATCCGACGTTCGCTCGCACCCGAAACACTACTAGCTACGCTGCATCTAACATCACACTCTTGTTGGATCAGTATTTCGAATATTTCCGTGACAAAGTGTCTGAAAGTGATACAGATGATTTTCAGCGCAAAGAGTTGGGCCACCACGCGCATAAATCCGAAGGCAACATCGGCAGCCGTAGTTTACAAAAACAATCGACACACACACAGAGAAACCAAAAAAAGACCACAGCAGAACGTACTATAAATCTTCTGCCCTCTTTCGCATGCACCGGTACTGCTGTGGCGTAGGTGCACCCAACACACCCACACCTACCTGCAAGTACCCAACGCGGACGCTCCACGTTTCTGCCTCGTCCTCCTCCCCGCTCCCAACCTCCGCGCGCGCGGCCAGCAGGCGGAAGAGCTCGACGAGGGACTGAGGAACAATCCCAGAAACTTCCGTTGGCTCGTCGCCGGCGCGAACCCCGACCACCCTCTCCGACCCCATCATGGTGTGCGTTTTCCCGGCCCCTTACGGTATTGACACGATGATCAAGAGGGCACACGAGGAATCCCCGGCAGGGGAAATAAAGAAGCGTTGTTGAGGGCGCGGGCAGACCTGTAGGTCCTGCAGTGTTTCGAACGAGCCGCTCATGTTCAGATGGCTAACCATTTCCCTTGTACATAAGGGGGGAACACAGACACAATAACTCTCTCGCGCTCGCTTTCTCTCTCTCTCTCTCTCGATGAATCATCTTCGGATACAGCGGGGGGCCTGGCTTAGCGACCCCTCATGTCACGACGAAACGCGAAACCGGACTCCTACTGCACCGCTTTTGACGCCAAAGCCCTGGACAAGAGAAATCGAGAGGGAAGCTGGAGACTGCAGGGAACGTTTCGCGGTCCTGGTGCCGTCCTCTTACCCGTCGCGCCGTAGGCGAAGACGGTGACGTTGATGCCCTCCAGGAGCTCGGAGATGTGCGGCTTGGCCGTGCCCTCGTACACCTCGGACTGGCCCGCGTCCGGCGGGAACACGGCATCGAAAGAGTACTCGTTGGCAGAGCCCTGTCACCACACAGCGGCACGCACACAGGAAAAAAGAAGCAGCGGCAGCAGCAAGACACACACAACAACAGCGGAATAAGGGTACAGGCGAACCTCGGTCAAGAGGACACCATTTTTATGGACACTCGGTGAAGGACACAGATTTTCCCGTGAACCAAGGGGCCCCGCATATATTTTTCATTGGGGTTGTATGGGGTGTAGACTACGTGAATTCATGCGTACTTACAGTTATTTAGAACTCGGAAACTTACCCAAATTTCTCTGGAGACCAGCAAATAAGGGTGATTTGAGTTTTAAACGCCAGAGCGGTACGTTACGTTACGGTGAAAAAAAAAACTTAGCGACCAGGGAAACCCAGCCTCCGCCCCGAAAGGGGCGGAGGCTGATATAAGACTGCGGCTGAAAACATTTTTTTGCATCCCCCCAACTTCTTCGCTTCCGTGCCGTTGGGTCACGCCGTATCATCACAGATGAAAGACACTCAACCAAGCAACGTACGCTTGTCGGGCATCACTGCTTTGTGCTCTGTCTGATGGTGCCCGCTGCTGCTGCTGGTGGTGCCTAATCTATATTTTGTTTGTGGGTGGGTGTGCTCTCTCTCGCCCACTTTGTTGAAGCGCCTGCTGTCTGTCTGTGTCGATCTCCCCTGTGGTCGCTCACGCCGTCCTTCTCTCCCTTGTCTCTTGTGTCTCCCCTCCAGCAGCAGCTACAAGCAGTTATGGATACGGCAATTGACAACCAAAAAAAGAGAGAGAAAGAGAGAGGCCGCACAAGAAAACAAACGACACCCCGCAGACAGCCCCTCCTCTGCTTATCGCATCTTCCATACCTACAACATATTGGCTCATCTGCCTCCGCTCTCGCTTTGTTTGGCACTTTTTGAGATCATCATCATCAGAAGTTGAGCGGGATCAAACTATTAAACTCACCCACCCCCCGGTTTTGCCAGATTTTGCGGAAGTCCCGAGTTTTAAATGTGGATCACACGCAGACCCAAATATGGGTTATTGCCGAATAGACCAAATGAAGCCTAAATTCCCTCCGCGGAGTTTAAATAACTCTACTGAAACAACTCGAATGTGGCCTTGTTCGTTTAACGAGCATGTGTATGCATACGTTGAAGCAAAAACCGATGGCCGAGCACGTGCGATGAACATCAAGCAGTGGAATGTTACGCTACGCCCATGGCCCACACAAGAGCTTACAATACACACACCTCTCCAGCGCGCGCAAACCTACAATATTAATATTAGCAATCCGCGGCGGTACGCTGACCTCACATCAATGGCGGTGTTGCGGTTGCGGTATAGTCTAGACGGGATACAACAAGAATATTTATTTTTCCTAAGAGTGTTGAATAACTGCTGTGTCGACCATTATTTTTACGCCAAATGTTGATGGGCACCCCTCTACACTCACCCAAACCAGTCTCAAGTTTTTCTTAACAGGGCGCAAGGCAAACAACAACCATGATTCTTGCCCGTTCGGCCACAGCAGTGTTGTACTTCGTACACTATTGCCACAGTCTCAACGTTGCTCTCTAGGGACGCTCGTTACTACACCCTAGTTAGCTCCAAGTGTGTAAGAAGTGATGGATGAAGTTAAAGTACTAATGCAGCAATACTGCTGTAAGCTGTGCCCGAGGCCCAAACGGGAAGGACCGAAATATCTGCCTTTCGTTCGGAGATATTCCGCTTTCGATCTGACGCCCGTGTTTGTGGCGACACGCAGAAGGCAAGGTTTTAGCGCTGCTCTCACACGCGGTTAGTCTGTCTGTATGTCCGCCCCTCTCTCTCCGTCAGTGTTGGTGCTTTCTGCCTCTGTTGTTGCTGTGCAATTGTAACTTGGACCTGATGCTGTTGGCTTCTACATGCATTTACTGCTGGTAAGTTATTGGATTCTGCGGCAATGAAATAAGAACCGGGTGCTTGCATTAGACTAGAGCAGTTCTTCCACAACATGACGCCAGGAAAAAAGCGCATCATACCTGTTGGCTGCGTAGGTAGGCGCCAGGGTCCGCCCCCTTTCTGATGACCAGGGTATTTCTAGTGAGCACGTCGCAGCACGACCGCTTGCCCTCGGCGAGCTCGGTAGCAGACAGAGGTCGCACCCGCACGGCTACCACGATGTTCTCGCTGCCGGAGTCTCCCCCCGCCAGATAGCTCAGCTGGTTCTCGGGGACCATGCTCAGGCTGTTGTTGGCGCTGGCGTCCGCCGTGGTGCTGTGGTCGTACGAGTCGCCCATGGCGTGAGCCCTGAAGCCGCCGATCGTGCGCCGCTTCTTGCGCATCGAGGCTAGGCTGGTGTTCCCTCTCCCTGAGCTCGCCATAGTTTCACCGGGACAACTGAGTGTTCAGCCAAGTTCAGCGGGTAATGCAAGCTGTCTGTCTCGTTGCCGCTGCTGTCTCTCGGCGATGCAGTGCCGGACCTTTGTGCGTCGGACAGAATGTACACCAGGGTCTCTACACTACTCCAACCTTTCCTCTCCCCCCCCCTGCTACCTACTCCTTTTCTCCTGCTGTCGGGAGGCAAGACCGAAAGCCTACAAGTACCTGATCGTAATCCTTGAATAATCCGCCAACGGCCAAAACATGCGCGGTCGGGGATTGGAAACCCCATCATCCCCGACCTCCCCTGGTCTCGTCGCACGAGACGACTCACAGCTGTACAACAAGCAACTCGAGAGTGCAAAGCGAGACGATGTAACTTAGATGGGACAAGCGAAGGATGAAGACTTTGGTGGAGCGGATCGCTGGCCAAGAAGGGATATTACTTATCTTGTGTGTGTGCAGGTAAGACCATGTGAACTGCTGTTGTGTACACAGCGGTGCTCCGCCGCTAGTAGACGAAGTACGTTGTACCGATTGATCGAGAGTATCAATCGGTGTTCGCAGAGGCAACAAATCAACCGCCTTGCAACAGAGCACCGACGCCTGCTCGGGCCCAGTCACCCACTCTCTGGATCCAACCCTCTGCCCCTGCTTGTTTGCTGGCACGCGCGTCATTCACCGTGCAGCGATTTCCTGCCCACCACTCTGTTGTCCAGCTTCCTCGACTCCCACGATGCACTATGGAAAGCTGCTGTGGACAACCTGTCTCACGCCGGGATTGCGGCGTCATCTTGGGCTGTGGTGATCTCGCTGAGGTGTGTAGAGTACACCATCACCCGGGTTCATTTGTTTGTCACAAAGTTATGACGGCACGCAACCCCCTGTGGTCTCTTTTCCCATGGGGACCAGCTGTCATTCCTCAACAACACTGCTATGTTATAGTTGCGATCAATAACTGCGCCACTTGAAAGACTCTGAAGTGTGTGTCCTCTCCACGTGACACCATTGAAGCCTGCTTGAGGTACTCTACCGACCTGAGTAACGCGCTGAAGTTTAAGTGGGGGGTGGTATCTTCGGGGAAACCCAAACAAAGTTGGAGGTAGACTCGTGTTTGCTCGACATGGGAAATAGAGTGCTTCACTGGAACGACCCTCGTCGTGTCGATCCAAAATCTCGCCTTCGTTTCAATGCTACCTATGCCTATGTAGGCCACTCTGGCGAAGTCTCGAGCGAGCTCGTCAACTCCTTCGAGCTGAGTAGCCGCGTGCAAGTTTGGTCCTGAGAGCTCCGAAACAGGCTTGAAGCAGCAGCGAAACCAGGACAAACTAAATGCCTGCGCGTGTAGACCATAGCATGCACTTAGCCATTTGTGCGGGGAGCATCAGCGGTGATAAAGGTGTGCACCAGATGGCGTCACAAGGAAAAGAAAGCTTGGGGGCTCACGTGGGGTACCATCGATTTTCGCGGAGCCCCGATGAATGCTCTTGTTATCGTTTTGTGGGAGCTGCAAACCGGGTGACCATGTACACAGCGAAGTAAAGCTAATGCTGGTGGTGCTATCGCTAACTTACTGAAGACAGCCGTCCTGCAACCCACAAGGCCTGGTTGTAATGTGTCGACAGGACTGTGTGATCTGGAGGCCGACAACAATTTTGGGCTCGCGTCGTTAACAGCCGTACAGCTGACAAATCACAGATGCTGCTGCTGCTCAGGGCTTGTTGCATGTTGACAACCTTCACCAGGTAGTAAACACGATTGGTGACGCTGCGGACCCCGCCCCCATGCAATGATATGTGGATCTATTGTCTGGGGAATACAGCAGTTCACAGCCACCTTGCCATTCCCCCCGTCTCCTCCTCCGTGCAACCCTCTCCTCGCCCGCCCATCCTCTCGCCTGCCCACGGTATGCCTTGGTGTGTTGGCAGCCCGCCATCCTCAGGAGCAGCCAATTTTCCGGAGCTTGCTCTGCCGGGAAGCCCGTTGCACCGATGCTTCTCGTGCGCCCGTCTTCTCGCCACCGGCGGGCGCCGCCGCAACCATGCAAGCAACGCATCGCACAGACCGCCTCCATCGCCGCCACCGCTCCCGCCACCACGCCCAGACACGATGGACAGCAGCCCGAAAGATCTCACCAGTAGAAGCAGATATTTCGACGTCGAAAGCGCCGAGCCGTCGTCGCCGCCGCCGACGATATCTGACCAACCGGCACTACCGATGGCAGCAAGAGGGGAAAGAGGGGCAGGGGGGGGGTGCACGGCGAGGATACCGTCAGCAGCAGTGGCGTTGGAAGCTTTGTTTGCGGCTTGCGTCGGTAGCGCGCTAGACTTGGATCATTTCTTGGCCGCGGGCTCCGTGCGGTTGTCGAGGGCTACGGCTTTGGCGGGGCGCCCATGGGGTCATTGTGTGGCGGCGCTGATCGTGGCGGTGAGAAGCAAGGCTGAATATCGAACCAGAGTGTTGTTACTCGTATCTTCATGTTGCGTGGGTGAGGATTATCGACGCCTGTTTGTGTCATACCACCGTTTTTATCCCACCCCTTTCATTCTCAGCATGTTGTCCAATACGTATCTTGGCCGGGAAATTGGGTCTCTTGTTTGCTTCTGCGATCCGGCGATAGCGACAGGCGCAGGAGGATCTCCGACCCGTCATACGGTGTGTAACCCGATCACGGCCGTCGAGCAAGCCACTTTCTACGTGCCATGTTCGCGATGTTTGCCCTCTCTCCCGCTCCCCAGCCCCCCAGGCCCTCCTCGTTTTCCTCGTTGTTATGCTGATGTTTGCTGGCCTTGAGTATTCCCTCGCCCGGCTTTTTCGCCCCGTCGGCTAATGTTTTTCTGTCGTTCTTCCTCTCTCTTGTTTTACCATACTTGACCCAATTAAGGCTTTCGCGGTGGCGGCCTTGACCCGCAACGCCCGAGCCGCAGTCTGTGTTTTCTCGGCCGGGGCTACGCACCAGCTCAGGGACTCCACGCGCCGCGGTCTGTGGCTCTACCCGCCCCGGGGGGCGAAAACGCCTCCGGTGAGCTACCCGATCTATCTGCTGGCGCAGGCGCTGCTGCCGCTCGTGATGGCGATGTGCCTGCGGTCGGGCCACGGTTCCAGATGTGGGTACTCCTGTGTGCAACGTGAGAGTACGGGTTCGGGGCACGTGTGTGCTTGCTGGTTTTCAGGTGTTCACTGTACAGTCTGGCGTTCGTTTTTGAGTGGATGTGGGGGATGTCTTAATACTTGCGGAGCGTGAGGGTAGTTTCTTGCTTCCCCCACCGCCCAAAATGGTGCGCTATTGTGCCGCTTTGAATACGTGGCGGACGGGTATCACGGGAGTACGGTCATCTTGCCAAAGAAGCACTCCGCAACCCCGGGGGCGTGCGGGTGATTGGTTGCTGGCCGAGTGTGTCTCGTCCGATACACGTAATTGTAGCACAACGCTCGCCGTGCGTTGTTGGTGTACCCCCCTTGGAGCCGGGTGGGAGAGCTCGAATTGCCAGCGTCTACAGCCTACACCCTCACGTGCAATCAACGCAACCTTGCGGTTTATCCGAGCTCCGTTTCACCACTTCTTGGGGCGTCCCGTACTAATAATAAAAGCCCTCTCCAATGCTTGCATCTGCCGCCAGGGAACACGCGGCATCGACGAGGGCTGCCATGTACTCGTCGTAGACGCCGCGGCGATGTTGCCTGTGTTCGCGCTAGGAGGGCCGAGAACGAGGATGGAGACGTGGGCACCAGAGCTTCTTTTTCACTCTAGGAGCGCTGTTTGGTTATGGCGGTGGTGTTTGGATGGTGACCCCTCTTATATCTCCGGCCTGTCACTCACGTGGTTGGAGATTGCTTTTTGGGTGCCGAACACCTAGCAGTAGGGTAAGGGTACGGCGCCGCCACGGAAGGCATGTATGTGTGTGTGTGTGTGTTCTTGAAATGACGTGGCATTGGCCGCGCTAGCCGGCTGACGAATGAACGTCGTGAGTCTTGTGGCGAACGCGCTTTCAAGCCATCATGATCCCCCGACGGGAGGGGGGGGCGGGGGATGGTTCGGCGGCAAGGTCCTGTCTCCGGATTCAAAGTGAATGCGTTCGCCTCGCGGAGAACGTAGATTCAGATATCGTGCTGCATTACATAGCGTGTGGCCGAAACTGGCGGAGAGAACACGCGAAAACAGACAGATGTCGCGCGAAAGAGGGCAACAAACTGGAAAAGAGAACAGGGGAGGGAGCTCTGGGACTCCAAAAAAGACATCAACGACGTCAGGAGTTTTCGATCTACTCAGGTACCCATCCTTGTTGGGGCACATCTCACAAGTTGCAATTGAACAAATGATCAGACCCACACGGCATGTTTATTTACCCTTTCGACCCGCGATTGGCTCGGGTAACTACTGTTACCAAAGCACAGCCAGCCACGTTCGACTACTACCTAGACTACTTCCCCAAGTTGTCTTCGCGAGCGCGATAAATGGTGAGCCGTGCGTCCTTTTTCCGCGCCGCGAAAGAAAGTTTTCTACACTACAGCAGTACTACAGCAGCAGTCTCATCAATAATTGTATCAGTGATGCTTGTGCCAGCATCCGGTTTTTACTCCGTGGACAACACGGGCCCTGCCATCGGGAGCACATGTATCTGCGTGGCGCGAGGTGCGCAAAAAGAAGAACACATGCTGAGGGGACCCGCAGATAGGGGATGTGGTCCCGGCCGCGGTACATTGTCGGGCGCGTGCCCCCAACAGTGGAAGGGGCCACACACAGCAGACATCTGCGTGCTTGTGTTGTGTTGCCACGCCCGACGGCATTGCTACCGTCTGCGCTTGTTTTCGGCCATGCCTGTCCGATGCGTCAGCACGGCGTTGAAGTTATGCGCCAGGAGCTCTAAGGTGCTCTTCCAGGTCTGTACGTCGCTAGCTGCTTACAACGCCCCCTCCTGGACGATACGATGTTAGAGTCAGTCAAGTCCGTCGACCACTCGAGTCAGGCAGCCAGCCCGTCAAATCTGTCTCGCGTTGTTGACTAGTGTTTCAAACTACTGTTGGCAAGGCCGGTACGGTGTAAGGCCTTGTGAACATGTTGGCGGTGCACTTCTTGTATTCGTATTTGATTATTTTCATTTTTGGCAAAACCACCGCATCCCGTGGATGACACAAGATATCATACCCCCCTTTGGACTGATCTTTAAAGCTCGATTCTCCACAGCAGAAAGAGCGGCAGCGCCGAAAACGGTGGCGTTGAAGCCTTCTCGTCGAGAGCTTTCCCGCAACGTATCGTTTATTTATGTATCCCCTTTGTGGTGGAGTACTCGAGCTTTGAGAATCGGTCTAGGGGGTGTGGTATCTTGCGTCACTTACAGTACTATTTTTGGGGGAATTTGCATGTGTTTGTTTTTCGCCCCCCGTCTTGCTGCACCCCCCTGGGGTGCGGTGCAGGGCGGGGGATGCCTGATCGGCGGGAACCCGGCACGGAACCCTCCGGCGTTGTAGGCGGGTGTGGGAAGCGTTCCCCGTTCTCCTTTTATTTTATTTTGATCGGTCTCCTCGACGCTCTTTCTCGTTTGGTGCGGTAGCTGGTCTTTCTTTCTATCATTTTGTTTCTCTTCCGAGTGGTTTTTGTACCCTATTTTTTTCTGTTTCTTCGTGGGGTCGTGTATGCCGGGTTTTGAGACCACGGGCTCCCAATCTTTCTTTTTTAGAGCTAATGTGAGAAACAACAACAACAACAACAAATACTTGTCGTGCCGCTTCACAGTGTACATATCGTGACGGAAGCTACGTACAGCAGTACTGCAGTGTGCATGCCATCGTCCCAGTCTACGAGGGTGATTACGCATAATATCTGTGAGGCTACCACCCATAGCTGAACGATACACTGTGAGAAGCCCTCGAAGGCGCCTTTGGTCTGGGTTTCTTCCCTCCTCACAGCAAATTTGTGACAGCCTGGCGGAGCGTACCGCAATGGTTTCACACCCTGTACAACTTTGCCAGGCAACTACCGTCTAGTTACTCGTAAACACCTAGTTGCGCACGCTGTTAGAAGAGTAGTTGTCCACAGGCAACTAGGTGCGCACGATTCTGGAAGAGTAGTTGTCTACAGGCAACTAGGTGCTCACGATTCTGGAAAAGTAGTTGTCTGCAGGCAGCTAGGTGCGCACGATTCTCGAAGAGTACTTGTCTGCAGGCAACTAGGTGCTCACAATTCTGGAAAAGTAGTTTGTCTGCAGGCAACTAGGTGCGCACGCTCCTGGAATAGTATTCGTCTTCAGGCTGAACTTTCTTATTCCACCATCCAGTCGACTTCCTATCACCTCTCCTCCCATAGCCTTTCGGCGTATACATTACATTCATGCCATGCACAGCAGTTCTTGTTCCTGGAGTCTCGCCTATTATTGTCCGCTCATGCTCATCATCTGAAGAATGGCCGTGCCCATCAAGCTTGAGCGGTGCGCAAACGAGCTGTTTCAACCAGCAGGGTTCATTCGCAGTAAGTACGCTGGTCTCGCGAAATGGCGCCATTTGCTACCGTATGTTCAACTAGATTTGCCACGGGCATGACGTGGTCCACCTAGTGCCGTCTTGAGCAGCACTGGCTCGTTGGTCTACCCGTGGCATGCAAAGGAGTCCATCATTCAAACCAATCAATCAATCTATGTTCAACTTTTCTAATAACTAACTACGTTAGTTGTTTGCCAGACAACTACCGGCCAGCTGGTTGTGAACACCTATTTATTTGCGCACGCTCCTGGAAGAGTAGTTGTATACAGGCAACTAGGTGCGTACGATTCTGGAAGAGTAGTTGTCTGCAGGGTGTGCACGCTCCTGGAAGAGTAGTTGTCTGCAGGCAACTAGGTATGCACGGTCCTGGAAAAGTAGTTGTATACAGGCAACGAGGTGCGCACGCTCCTGGAATAGTACAATAGTTGTCTGCCAAACAACTACCATATCAAGTAGTTGTACAGGATGTGAATGGTTTGCACCCGTGGTAAGTAGCAAATCATCTTGTCTTACCAATAAATAGTGTGCCGAGCCTCGCCTTTACGTGGAGGGTTGCGTTGGATGCCCTACGCAGCAGTCCGTGTGCGTTGCCCCACGGGGATTGGATATTGTTAGCGCCATCAACAGACGCCGGCGCTGAAATGACAAATAAGTGTCGACTGAAACGGTAAGTAGCGAAGCGAAGCGCACCGTCTTATTTGTACTGGCCTACAGGTGAAACCACTCTCGCAACCCCAACGTTTAGGCCGAGGGGTACTCGTCGTCGGGTGTACTTCCCACCAGGTACACCACCTCCCAAACCCTGACAGCTTGTTGAGAAGGGAAGGGGGGTCTTCACAAAAATCACAAGAAGCTGCGTTGACACGGGCATGACGGACGGCCACTATGAAACTTCCATATGCACGTGCGTTGCTGTGCGCTTTTTGCTTCCAGGGAAAGCGCTCGCTTCGAGAGCATGGACGATTGTCACCAGCGTCGTCGCTGCTGTCGCAAGCGCCAGCGACGATGCAGGGCCGGACCTTCAGCGGCAGCGCATCTGGGCCGGGAGAGGCAGCAGCTGCGGTGGACATGGCCAAGCAGGGGGGGGATTTCCCCTGGCGTGGCGCCCCAAATCTGATCCCCGAGCCGGCAGGCAGCGGTTCGTTCCTCGACGGCATCATGGAGTCGATTTTCGAGGACTTTTGCTTGAAGGGCGTGGACTTTACGGCTGGTGCGGAGGCGGCATTCGTGACGACGGCTGCGGCGTTATTTAAGATGCGCACGTTACAAGTGCGAGCACCCAAGCCATCGGTAGAAACAGCAGCAGCAGGGGTAGACGGGGCGTCAAAGGGCGATGCTGAGGAGGACCCAGCATCAGACGCAGGTGATTGCAGCAAACACACGAAACCGGAAGCTGTAAATGGTTGTGCGTGTCTGTTTTTCGCAAGTCGGGGTTCACTGATCCCACGCGCACCAGCGTAGTAGTAGTACACTGAAGTGTGGTGGATTTAGCTGTAGTATTTGCTGCCGTGGTCGTAGTCTTCTAGAGGTGTGGATAGGTACACACTTTCCCGCCGGAGAACTGCCTGACGTTTGACGCCCCTCCGCCACTCACGCTCGTTGAGCCCCTCCCTCTCTCTCGCCTCAATGACGAAGTGCCCCATACATGCCCTCTGCGCTCCCCAAAACAACGTACCTCCGTGGTTCACCGAATGGCCAGCGGAAAAGGACGAGGCGGAGGCGGAGAAGTCGGCAGAGACAAGCGAGGAAGAGGCTGAACGAGTTCTGGCCGCCGTCGACAAAGGGCTCATCGCGCTCTCCAGCGACAAGGGGGGGGTGCCGTACTACCGCTTGCATCGGGTCGTCGCCAAAGCCATCAGGAGGAAGAAGTTCATCTTGGTGAGCGAGAATGCCGCAGCAGTAGCAGTAGGAACAGCAGCAGGGATGATTTCCTTAGCACTGGAAGCACATTTTGTTTTATTGGCAGCAGCGAGACAGTGTCACGGGCGTCCCTTCTCTATTCTCTTGGATGCAGCACCTCGTGGGCTGGTTTTTCGAGCTTGATTACCCCGCAAATCAAGGTGGCGTTAGAGTGCTCAACAATATGTATTGTACTTATAGTAGCATCGATTACTGATTCCAGTTGAGGATTGGTTTCAGCTTCGGAAAAATAAAAACTATAAGGAATCTTGACCGGAGAATAAGTCACCGGAGAAAATTGACCACGGCTGATTTCTCTCTGCTCGCGAAAGCTACGAGCATGAGATCGCGGCGGTGCCTTCGCGAGATCTACCCCTCGAGGGCCCTGTCGAAGGAATTTCAATCGAAGCGACACCGGCGCCAACCCCAAGCGTTTTGTCTCGCTCAAAATCCCTTAAACTTGTTTTTGGTGTGGACACCTGTTTGCTCTGCTTCTCCGCGGCTGAATTCTTTGAGCTGAACAACGCCACACAACCGCCACGACGACGACTTCCGCGGCATGCCTGCCCACACCCCAGCCCTCGCCAGCACGGCGAGCGTTTCAGCTCGCGTCGCACGCAGCGCAGCGAAAGAGTACAATACCCCCCCAAATCAGAGGCGCTGAGGCGCCTCTTGGGCAAACCCTTGCTTTTTTTCGCCACGGTGTACTCCACAACCGAGCAAGGTACAACCCCATGCGTGCCGCGGCTCGATGCGCTAGGAAGAAATAGACGTGCTGCGCAAGTCTCGGCCATGACGGTGGCGAGGGGAGCGAACAGGGCAGCGAACATCGTTTCGGCTGATTTGCGGGTCGAGTTGCCCCGCACTGCCCAGCACACGATTTTTTTGCCGCATCGATAACTCCGCATCCTGCTCACGAAAGTCCACGAAACTCGGACAGCCAACGCAAACACTGTCCACACATATGTGTGCCAACTTACAATGCCATCAGACCTGCACGCCGCCCCTGACGGCACGTCGTCATCCCTACGCTGACCTCTCACGGCACAAAACAATCACCCCGCAAGAATTCGCAATTTCTCAACACATACTCAGCCCCTCGACAAAAAGCTTACATCTATGTGGAGCTAGAACTACACTGCGTTCGATGCTCACCCCTTGGTACACCCCGTAGCTCGGATCACGACTTTCAAACAAGGTTTGTGCTAAGGGGAGACGCAAAATGCAACGCATGGACGACGGGGGAACATACTTTCCCGTCACATGCCCCCTCCGGCCCCTTGCTGCTGATCCATCTGCTGCAACCTTTCATAGCTCCATCGCAAAAAGGTGCACCGGGCCTTTCGGCATCATTACGCTGCCAATTTACAAAGTAAGCATCTCCCGACAATGAGCATCGAAAGGGCTGCGTGCGCATCTCTTAAAGCAGAGCGTTGATGCATGTAAGCGACGAAACCATATGCGCCTAACAACACCTGATGACCAAGCTTGAGTTTTGATTTTGGTTACTTTCGCTCTTCCGCTTCCCTTTTTTCCGCCGCGTTTCACCGCAGAGGCATTTCTAACCCTTCTGCTCACCGCTTTCGCAATACGCTGCAACTACGGTTGCACCCCCATTCCGCTGCCAGCCGGTAAAGTAAGCAGGTCCCGAAAACGAGCATCGAAAGGTTGACCTGTGCATACCCGCATCTTTGGCTATCGACGACTGTGGCGGTAAAAAACCTGTGCTTCAAATGTACCTGCCAACAGCCCTCTTTTTGCCTCCCCTCCGCAACTTTTTTTCAGTTCAACCGTCCGAGGGGCAAGTCATACCCATGGCGTCACCCTCCCTCAAGCAATCATCTTGTGATACAGCAGTGGTTCCTGTATCTCATTCGTACGTAGAGAGTCGGCCGTGCTTTTTACACCTCTAGCGTACCTGTGTGTGTCACACTCCTTTTGTTGCGTGTCGGCGTGTAGTATGCAGTCTCCAATTGACTGAATTTTGTTCTCAAGTCATCGTATGCATAGCACACCAAAGCTTATTTTGGTCTCTCTGCTGTCGTCGATGAACCCCTTCAAATATATTTTCAAAATGTAAATCCATGGCATTCTTCTCGATATGATGACCGCTTGCCCTTGTGCTGATGCATGCACGCATGCACTCGGCTGCCGGTGTACTACAGCAGTTCTACTGTACTCACTACTTCTGGACATCACTTAACATACATGTACGTATCATACATGTAGTCTTCTACCACTTTGTATGTATGATCTTGTATGTACAGCAGCAGTACGTACCTGAACATCTACCAGCACCTTCAGCAGTTACAGCTCCAACGCGGACATGCTGTTGAAATATGCATAGAAGAAGATAGATTCATCCGGTGTATGCACACTACTGCTGCTACTGTATGCAGGATGCACGTCTTTGCACAGCACACACGTCCGTCCAAGGAACATGTTACTACTCTATGTTAGATGCATCCGCAGCCACGTACTACTACAGCTACGGCACTTACAACTACAGGCATTACAACTACAAGACCACTTTTGTCCATGGAACTTACTGTGCGTCTCTCGCCAGCCTCGATAGGGAAAACGAGGCGACCACTTCCACAGCAGCAGCAATGTGTATAGTGTTGAAGTGTAGGCTTATTTTTATATACACTACTGCTACAGCAGAGCTGCACAGCGGATAGTAGATAGGCAGGCGTGTGAAGAAGAAGCACAGCCGGTCATCGCTCGCTGAAAAGCGCACCTTATTGCAGGGCTGTCCTCGTTAACGGTTGTTCATGTCAGAATAATTTGCCGAAACCACGGTACATGACATACAGTAATTATGAGCGGCAACTGGCCACCACGGTAAATTCCCTCCGGCAACTCGTCACCACGGTAATTTTATTGCTCGGCAACCAGCCACCACTGTAGTAATGCACAGGAATGTGCATGTTTCTACGGTAGCTGGTCACCACGGTAATTTTCTTGTACGGTAACCAGTCCCCACAGTAGTAGTAGTGCACATCCATCTGCCGTGTGACATGATGATGTACAACACTCATATTTAATTAGTAGGACGAGAAAGAGGACTCCGCGACGACAGACAGAAAAGGAGACACCCTCGCTTCCATTTTCCCGTTAGGATTTTTATTTTTCGTCGTTTCGTCACATCGTCACGCACGAAATCCAATCCGTTCAAAGGATCAAAGGAAAACGGACCACGGATTGGAGGCAGCCCTGCAAGCGCAGGGCAATTGATATTTTTTTAGCAGAGGGTGCCAGGACTGAGAACATCGAACGTCGCGAAGCCCTCCACGACGTGCATACATCACTTTTCGGTTCAAAGTTTTTGTTCATGGAATACGTTTGTCTTGCTCAGAAACAACTTGCCTCTCGTCGCTCTCCCATCTCTTCTGTGTCCCCGTGTTGAAACGCGATTTTTTTTTTATCCTTCGTTTTTTGGTTCTTCGCTTTCTTTTCGCGGGCGGTTCAGGGCGTACAGCGCGGGGACGACCTATCGGGGAGGTTCACGGTGACCATGTCGCCGTCTTTGGAGTTCGTGCTGCAGGAGAATAACGCCTTCGCTCAGATCAGGAACGTTCTTGCTGGGAACGCCACCGTCACGTTTCAGGTGCTGAATCGGTGGCTTTGCACGTGACGGGACCCCCACCCCCCGTAAGAGATTTATCTGCCGGGACCCAAAGTCGGCCGGCAGGTGCCGTCGTTGCCTACAGTCGAGATTTTTTGTCAGCACTCTTAGAGAACGGGTGGAAGAATCTGCGCCGAGACTCGCACCTGCCGTTCATCACGCTTGTGGAAACCGCCTGGAATGGGTTGGTGTTCCGCACCACACAAGACCCTACTTGCTCGTACTTGTATGCGTGCAGTGTGCTCTCGACGCGCTGTCCCTTTTCTCCCACTTCCGTTGTCCTCCCCTAGGTGGACGTGGACCTGGCGTGCGACGAAACGTTCTACGTGAAGGATAAGGGAACTGGAGAGGTGCGTAATCTTGTCTTCATATCTGTTTTGTTTTGTTTTTCGCTTCTACCAAGGTTGAAGGGATCGAACCAATTGTAGACCAAACCAATTTTGTGTCAAGACTGACATGGAAGAGAGAGGTTGTTGGCCAGTTTGGTTCTCGTGTTGTTTTTTTTGTGGTGCAAGGGATGAAATGAAATCCTCTTCGAACCCCCCCCCCTCGCCGTCTGATATTTCAACAGATCATTCAGGGAAAGAAGGAAAGCTCCGGCCGCATACACCGCATCCGGTTAGAGAGCTGCCTTCTGATGGAGCACGCCATCGAGCAACCGCATATTTGGAAGGTGAGGACGTGATTCTGGCGGAGAGCTTCTCCGCCGCACATATTGCAAGCACCGCCGCAACACAACCAATCGGACAACACGGTAGAGGTTGACAGCAGCAGTGACCGTGGCCGTGCCAAACGCTACGGTGCTCGCGGCATTGCCTCTGCTACTGCTACTGCTGCTGCTGCTGCGGCGTTGTTGTTTGTTTTGAAGCAAGCTCTTGTCGGGACCAACCGCTGTCCCGTTGACGTGCATGTGATCTCTCTCCGTCCCCCCCTGTACCCACGTTGGCTTTCGACGGTTGTTGCCTTCTTGGATTTTATTTTGTCCTTGTGCCTTTGTCCTGGCGGCATCACAGGTGATCGACCTCGATGATTGGCTCAAGGGCAACGCCTTCTGCTGAGGAAGATGTTTCCATGACAATGAGCCTGCCTTGGCGTCCAACCGCCACCGAGGTCGCCCAGTTCTATCAAGACACTCGGGGGGCGGGGTGGTGGGTTGGGCTAGGTTACACTCGAAAGGAGGGGCGGCGTTTCATGCGTCAAGGCTGATGTTCTCCTGGTCATGACGGACGATTTAAATTCCGACGAATTTGTTATTGCTTCGTTCTGGCGGTGCGCCTCCTACGGTGTGTGAAAATCCTACTGTTACCCTTGTATCGCGGAGCGAGGTTGGGGAGGGGGGGCCTGCCACTCTCTCGTTTTTTTCTTCTTCGCAACTTGGGCTCGGGTTGTGTAAAAGCTGGCTTGCTACTTTTTGCGTCAAATGGTCCCACGTGGTTACTCCGGTTTGGATTACAAATGAAATAGTCAAGAGGGTCCAACAACCAGTGTTGAGCTTGTTGAAGGAGGTAGGTCAGCACAAAGCTTGGGGAGGGTTTGGAAGACGGGTTAGACTGAGTTGGTCAGGTCCACCCCACCTTCCAACTGGATAGTCGCGGAGGATCGCCCCGAAAATCCTAGGGAGTGCATGCTACACGCTTCGACCCTGCCGTGAGGCGTCAAGAGAGCAGCGAAACGTCGTGGGTGTGACGGGATTGAAGAGCCCCACCTCTCCTAAATGTCTAAGCACGCCATGTCACTATCAAGTCGTGCCTCTCTTCACAGCCGCTGGAGCATGAATGCGTGCGCAAACACGGGTTGGGAGCGACCGCTTGGTGGATAGTTTCATGAGTGTGTGATGACAGACGGTGTCGTCTGTACCCCACGCACGACCGGTGGGACCCCGTTTACCACTACTTTTGGGGTTACAGGCTTCGCTTCGATCAATTTGTCCAACTCCTTGGGTCTGTCACATGCTGGTGCCGTGACCAGGAACTGAAGTGCCCCGATCAAGAGTTGCTCTCTGTGCGTATGTTACGCGTGTTCTTACGCTGCTCACTGCTGTTTCATCGCCTCAACTGACGAAGAACATTCGTGTACTTTGAAGTTAGGCTCAGCGCGGTGGTCTTTTGTACAGCAGTAGTTGTACCACACAAAAAACTCTGAATAAGCCAAGTCTCCAGTTGGTTTCAATCCACTTACTGAAAAGACTTCACAACATCCCTTTCGACTGAGGTTATATCTCGAACGGGTAGTCTTTCTGTGAGGTTATGTTTACTTTCTAGATAACATTGGTACAAGAGGGAAATATCCCGTGTATGACACAGGATAACACATCCCCTGGACCAATTTTCAACGCTCGATTACTCCACGGCGAAGAAGATGCATAAATAAAACGATACATTTTTGGAAAGCTATCGGCGAGACGGTTCCAACGCCGCCGTTTTCGGCGCTGTGACTCTTTCTGTCATTGAGACATCGAGATCCGAAAATCGGTCCAGGGGGTGTGTTATCTTGTGTCATTTACAGTAGCCATTATGCTCATGTCATATTTTTGGGACCTCCCTCCCTCCTCCGGCGGGCAAAGACAGCAGCCAGAGTCGCGCGGACGTATGCACGCGGTGCTGCTATGTGTGACGTTGATTATGTGCTCTCCTTTTGTGTTCTCAAGCGCCTCACCGGTGGAACGCTTCAAGATGCTGATCCCATTCCCGTACGTGTATCCACCAGCAGGCAGAGCTACTGACCAGAGTTATACCGCATGCCCCCCAAGCGCTGGGGGGGGAGGTGGGAGGCGCGGCGCCCCCTGTGAAGGATCTTTCTGCCCCGTGCCCGGCAGAGTGACACACACATTCCTTCCAGGAGGAGGCATCGCTCGGCAGGTTGATCGGCGGCAGCAAAGAAGGCATCGGAAGGTAAAGCAGACGAAGATGAAACCGGTTGGCCGCGGCGAGAGCTCCGGCGAGAGGGTGAAGCGGAAAGAGCCGGGCATCGAGGAACTTGGGGTGAGAGGGAGAGGGAGAATCAGCTTGAGCGGTTGCTCGGTGTAGTAGTAGGCACGCGGCAGTCAACTGGGGACCCGGAACTCGGGCGGCATCCCACTCTGTTGTTAGGTCCCTATCGAGAGAAACATTTGTATTGTCCCTTGTTGAATTGTACCACCAGTGGAATGCAGCATCCCTTGGTGTAGCGGGGAACAAAGTTGATGTGTCTGTTCGGAGGTGTATGCCGTACGGTGAACACAGGATCCTGTAATCGTACAGTCTAGGCCACGGCCGGTGGCCAAAATCTAACTTGGTTGAAGAAAACAATGATGATCATGGTAACCAATCAAGAGTCCCGCGTTCGCAGTGCTGCCACAACTGCCGAGGGGGAGGGAGAAAGGCTAGACGAGAGGCAAAGAGAGGCGGAGCAAATTCTGAGTGACTGCGACACAACCAAAAATCCGAAGTCCTTGTGGTAGCTGGTGACGGCCGTTACAAATCTTCGATGCCTAGACCGCACATGAGATCTACTGCTGTAGACTTGTATGGTGCGGAATGCCACGCAAGCCCAGCGAAACCGGTCGCTGCTCAAACCCCCTGTCTACGATTCTGCGCCTCGAGTACAGCGCCTATCGTGAACTCCAAAGCCGCAACGTCCCTCGCCTTTTCGATAGCAAGATCGCGGCGCGTTGCTCGGTAAGAAAAAACGGTTTTGATTCCAAGACTTTGCCCAAACAACATGCTTGAACCCACAATCGCCCTTCGCACCGCTCCTGCGTACGATGATCTCTCTGTTGAAGTACAGCGCATTACTGCTGTAGGATGTGTGTAGTAGCATAGATGCAGCTGTATGATTGCTGTACGCATAGGCCTGTCCTCCATCGGCCGCGGCCGAAAGAGCCGGTTCCTGAAAATTTCGGCCGGAAAACGGCCGCAAAAAAAAACGGCCGATTTTGCAAACAAAGTGGCCGATTTTGCAAACAAAGCAGCCGATTTTGGCCAGGGGATAGCCGAATGTCAGTCGGCTACGGCCGATTCCTAGTCGGCTACGGCCGATTCCAAATCGGCCACGGCCAATAACAGACTTGCGGTAAAAATGGGAACGTATCCAAAAATGAGAATTGGCGTTTTTCTTCAGAACCATCGGGTGTATTGTTGTTGTTGTTGTTGTTGTTGTTGTTGACTTCACATTAAACCGTATGCCAGTTGCTAAATGCCAAAATCTAGCAAAGACTCTCAGCCCGTGGTCACGAAAGTGCTAGAGCCATCTGAGGATCTAAAGAACACGCACACGTAGCAAGAAAAAGGTATCCAAGAGCCCGAAGAGGTACTACTACACCTA